AACTGTGTTTCTTTTGCTTCCGTCGTCACCACATCAAATTTTGTAAGTTAAAGAAACCTTGTGGAATCAATGGGTGCAAACTATACCACCATCGCCTTCTGCATACTGACAGTGCCTCTAAAAATGCCCAAGAAATCAGCCGGGATCGAGTACAGAACACTTTCAGGCAGGAAGGTAAATCGAAAGAAGAAATTATAAGCAATCACTCGGTAAATAACCGTGTTTTACTAAGAACGTGTCCAGTAACGTTATATGGTCCAAGCTGTCAGATCGACACATATGCACTTTTAGATGACGGTTCAACCATATCTCTGCTAGATTCGACTACTGCCGATAAATTAGGCATCAGTGGTAGCATTGAACCCCTTACCACTTGTTGGTCAAATGCAACTAAACATTTTGACCCAACGTCCAGACGTGTTGAACTTAAAATAAAAGGGCTCTATGAAGATGAAGTTTTCACATTAAATAATGTAAGAACTCAATCACCTCTAGATTTACCCCAACAGTCGATTGACTCAGTAAAGCTTCGTGAGAGATGGCCTCATTTAAAGTCAATCGATCAACCTTTACCAACATCTCATGCCAAACCTACCATTTTGATAGGTCAAGATAACTGTGACTTGTTATTGACCAGAAAAGTTATCGAAGGTCCACCAAATGCTCCCGTACTGTCATGGAGCTACCTAGGGTGGTCAATGCATGGCAAGTGTCCAGAATTTGCTGGACGTGTTGACGATTTCACCTTATTGTCCTTTGATCACGACAGATTACATGATTTGGTGAAAAGTTCCTTTGAAATTGACAACTACGGTGCATCTCCAGTAGAAAACAAATCAATAAAATCGGTAGAAGACGAACGTGCAATGTCAATCTTGGAAAAAACAACGAGGAAAATCGGAGAACGTTATGAATCTGGCTTGTTGTGGAAATCAGATGATTTTAAATATCCCTCGAGTTACGATAAAGCTCTGAAAAGACTAAAACACATTGAAGGGAAGATGGCAAAGGATCCTTCCTTTAAAGACGAATACACAAGGAAGATTGCCGACTACAAGGAAAAAGGGTATATTCGAAAACTAAGTGAAGATGAGGCAAGTATTTTAAATTATCATACTTATTATCTACCTCATTTCGGAGTTGTAAACCCCAATAAGCCCAACAAATTAAGATTGGTCTTTGACGCAGCTGCAAAGTCGAACGGTGTATCATTTAATGACGCTCTTCTTAGTGGACCTGACCTTTTGAATCCATTACCAGCTGTTCTCGTAAAATTTCGTCTGGGAAAATTTGCTGTCGCTGGTGATATTAAGGAAATGTTCCATCAGGTACGCATAAGGAAAGAAGATGTAGATTCACAGAGATTTTTGTGGAGGCAAAACACGAATGATCCTCCAGATACGTATGTAATGGAGGTGATGACATTTGGGTCGACCTGTTCTCCAAGCACTGCTTTATATGTAGTGAACGAAAATGCCAAAAGTTTCTCATCCATCTACCCTGAAGCTTCTAAATCAATTCTCACTAAGGAATACATGGATGATTTATTAGACTCTGTCAATTCTGAGGAGGAAGCAAAGACTCGAGTGAAAGAAATAATGGAAATTCACAAATCAGGTGGATTTCAAATTTGCAATTGGCTATCAAATTCCAAAGATGTTTTGTCTGGAATTCCTGAAGAACTTAAATCACATTCAACTAAGCAATTGAAGCATGATAGCAATCTTCCCACTGAACGAGTTCTCGGAATGTGGTGGGATTCAGAAAGCGACAATTTTGTATTTCATCGCAATGTAGAAAAGTTTCAAAAAATGGAATCAAGTTATCCAACTAAACGTGAGGTTTTGAAGGCTGCGATGTCTATCTTTGATCCTTTGGGACTAGTCACCCCTACTACAATCAAAGGTCGAATATTAGTGCAAGAGATTTGGAGAACAAAAACAACATGGGATGAAGTACTAACAACAGGACTTACTAAGAAATGGCAAGAATGGTTGGAAGAAGTTAAACAACTACAATATTTTACCATTCCGAGATGCTATTTCAAAACCCTTATGATAAATGAGGTTGAGCTTCATGTCTTTGTCGATGCAAGTGAAGAAGCGTACTCCGCTGTTGGATATCTAAGACATAAGAATACTAACGAGAATACTGGATACAACACTATGTTGGTTATGTCGAGAGCAAAGGTGGCTCCTCTAAAACCAACTACCATACCAAGACTGGAACTACAAGCTGCTGTCCTTGGATGTAGGCTTGTTAAAACAATTATACACGACCTAGACATCAACTTCGTCCGAAAAATATTTTGGTCAGATTCTGTTACGGTGTTACATTGGATAAAATCTGATCCGAGAAGCTTTAAACAATTTGTTTCTAACCGACTTGTGGAAATACTTGAAGTTTCACAAGCTGATGAATGGAAGTGGGTACCATCAAAAAATAACCCTGCTGATGTCGCTACGAGAAGCAACCAGAAATTCACTACAAGTAATCATGAATTTTGGACTTATGGCCCCGAGTTTCTAAAATACGACTCAAGTCATTGGCCACAGCAACCAACAACCTTGCAAACAAAAAACAGCGAAGAGGTGAAACAAAAGTTCGTTGGGTTACTCAACGAAGACAAAGACTATGTTATCAATATTGAGAGATTTTCTTCCTGGAATAAGGTAACACGAGTAACTGCATGGGTTCTGAGATACATTGGTATATTGCAATCCAGGATCAAACGAAATGACAAAGCCAGACTGAAGAAGAACTCTAACCCCAGATTGATACTGGAACTTCAACCAGATGAAATTCTTAAGGCTGAACACATCTTAGTGTTGAATTCCCAAGACAAAACTTTTAAAGAAGAAAAGACCTTATTAAGAAATAGCAAGTCACTACCGAAGTCAAGTAAAATATTCACATTGGATCCTTTCGTTGACGAGAAAGACCTCATCAGGATGTCTACAAGAATACGAAATTCTCCTGAAATCAGTACTGAACGAAGATATCCAATTATTTTAGATGGAAAATGTCAAGTAGCAAGACTTATTGTGAAGAACTTCCATGAAAAATGCTTCCACCAAGGAATAGAAACCGTAATGAACATGACAAGAGAACGGTTTTGGATACTTAATCTTCGCACAACAGTGAAGAAAGTGCAAAGAAGCTGTATGCGTTGTAGGATTGACAACGCCAAACCAAGTCCACCTCAAATGGCACCCCTGCCAATGTCACGAGTAGTCAAGGCACAGTATCCTTTCTTTTACACTGGTGTTGACTATTTTGGCCCAATTGAAGTAACTGTTGGCCGAAGACATGAAAAGCGATACGGTGTAATATTTACATGCCTTTCTACACGAGCAATTCATCTCGAAGTGGCTCATTCGTTAAGTACGGAGAGTTGCGTTATGGCAATTCAAAGGTTTATAAGTCGGAAACCTTGCCCTTCTGAGATGTTTTCTGACAATGGTACGAATTTTGTAGGAACAGACAATGAACTTCGAAATGCTGTTAAGTCTTTAAACAACGCCCAGATTCAACGGACAGTCGTAAAGAGTGGGATTAAATGGAATTTCATTCCTCCCCGTGCGCCACACATGGGGGGATGTTGGGAGAGACTGATAAGGTCAGTAAAAACAGCATTGAAAAGTGTCATGCGATCCCAGTACCCGAAAGATGAAGAACTGCAGACGTTTTTGACTCGCGTGGAGTTTATTATTAACTCACGTCCACTCACACACTTATCAATTGACCCGTTGGACCCTGAGCCGATCACACCAAACCACTTTCTACGCGAAGCCTACAAAATAAATATTGATGAAGATAAACTATGTAAGAAACAACTAGCCCGCGTAAGAACACTTTTGGATAGTTTTTGGAAGCGATGGGTCCAAGAATACCTGCCCTGTTTGTCAAGACGTTGTAAGTGGCACAAACGAATGGAACCGCCTCAAGTAGGGGACTTGGCTATAATAGTAGAAGAAGACAATCAAAGGAATTCATGGCCTCTTGGAAGAATATCAGCCATTTACCCCGGTAAAGATGGCGTTATACGGGTTGTGGACATCAAAACAACCAAAGGTACATTCCGGCGCCCTCTTACCAAGGTCGCAGTTCTTGGGGGGGAGAGAATGTAATAAATAATCTATGTCTAATCTATGCCTGCCTTATTTCATACAGTTTAACTAACATATGTTTATTGATTATTATGATTTTTGTAAACAGTCAAATAAATACACATCTTTGGTGAAGTCCTAATAGTCTTTTATCTTGTCTGTCTATAATATTTTAACAGATGCAACAGTAGTACTTTGGCTGTTAAGGAAAACTCTGTTGGGGGAAAAAACTAGACGCTGATGAGGATAAAAGGCACCCTCTGTACATTCCAAAAAAAGGGACTTTCTACAAACATCGTACCAGAACTATGGTCAAAGGAATTGAATTGGAAGACAAGGAATCCGGCTCGAAGAACCAAATGTTCGGGGGTTAAATTGTTGAAATGAAAAGTTTAATAGTTCGTAGGACCAGAACTTACTAGTTCAAGAGAAAATAACAAAATTAGAGAAAATGGCCGATCTGCAATTTATAGGGCACTTGAGGTTCCGAGGTGGAATAACATTTCTTGTGAGGGGCAAATGAGATATTTTAAAGTATAATTAAATCTCACACAAAACTTTAAAGTTGTACCTTGAGTCCAATTATCGAAATGTGTGGAGAGGATGGCAGCAGCATCGTCTATGGCGGAGCGATGGCGGATGGCGGATACCTTTGGACCGAGATCTTCTGTTTTGTAGAAATTACGAATATGGAGAACGCAACGCACATAAGTTCATAGACATAAAGAGTTCACTAAACACGCGGAAGTCACGGTGAGGATGGACGGAAAGTATAGAGGACACACTGTCTTGAGGTTTGAAGAGTCTGAAAGCACTAATTCAATACATACAATAAGAAGAGCTTAAGATTCAATCGGTGAACTAATGCGATATTATTGAGATTGAACACACCTGTCTTGAAGATGATGGTTTTAGAGTCTCGGTAGCCAGTGAGAGTGAAAGCTCGGATTCTGACGTAGTACACACTCGCTGAATGTAGAGGTCCGTTGCAGAAAGTGTTCAAGTCGGTTTTGGAACATTCTTCTGTTCCGAGCGTGAATTGTTTGACAGTAAACGGTGTTTTGTCTGAGTCTGCAAAACGTTGAAAGTTAATTAATTAATAGACAGTGACTAAAACTTGTTGACTAACACTTTTTTGAAATTCAGGATGTGTAAATTCATAAAGGCACTTAAGAGGTATTAGAAATATACGTATAATTCCACCAACAAAATTGTCCCTCTATGCGGCTTTGTTCGTCACTTCTCATGCTGCTTGTTTTAGGTCTTCCAGTGGATGCTATTTCCGTTTCTGTTTCCATTGCTTATTCTGTAATTTGTTGGGAGGACACGTGTTATAACATTCCTAAAACTCACTCCTTCCTCAAATTATACCTAATATTTAATGACTTTACAAATAGCTAAAATGTTTCTTTGTACAACATTCTGAACTATAATTTCTGAGCGGTAAGGTTTAACAAAGTCAAACTTTGCAGCTTTTTTTGTTGTGTAGACCGGTCCATGGTGTTTCCAGCGCTGAATTGAACCCTCCACCGACAGTCTGTTCCCGCTCGTGTACCGGCAATGTTGCATATTCGTGATAGGCCTATCAAACTTAAATTATTTATTTTTATGTCGTACGTGTCGTGTGTAAATGTTGTTAGTCGTGTAATGTGTTGTGAGAACGAAGCTATTCAAGCGGATCTACATATTCCTGTAATGAAGTGTTTGACAATGGCAGCTCGCCGAAACATGTAACACGTTGACGAAGGTTACAATTGGAACTGATAAAGGTATTGTAAAACCTAATATTTTATATATTACAGTTCCGGGGCTACAACAATGATCAATGAATTTTAAGAATTATATCGGGTGATTTTTATTCCATACCTGTGAAAGGGTTCCACCATGGAGGGGTTGCCTGGTAGACTCCAACAGGGTGTGTTTGTGTCGCAGCAGCCCAAGTTTTCATCTTTGGCCACGTGTGATTGACCATATATCCAGACCGAGGTTCATAGGTAAAGTTGCCAGCAACTATTATTGCGTAATATCTGCAAAGAGGATAAGTTCAAATGTTGCTGGAGGAATGGTTAGAAAATGTGTCATACCTTAGATGTTGTCTTCCCAGCTAGTCATGACTTGCTTTCTACCGGTGCCGGTCCCCGTGTGTAACGTCTTAAATGTATTGGCCAAGTTCAAATGTTTTTTCGTACCGTTCGTGTGTTATGTGTTTTTTTCGGTGTGTTAAATTGACGACCTTCACGTTAGGAAAATGTTTTAACTTTTTGTGACCTTCACCTGATGATGTGCTCCACGAGCATGAAACTGCAGTAGTGACAAACTACGCAAGGACCATATTGACAGAGATAAATTAAACCATTATTATTCTTACAATGTTTACGTTCTTAGTTTATTTCTTAGTGGGAGAAGCCCACCAATAATAGATAGTGGACAACTCAGGTGGAGTTCTGAAACTAGTAGCCATTTCAGGAAGACTGATGGGTAAATTCTTTGTGTATTTTCATTGTATGATCAGGTATCATGTTATTTACAGTAGACTCCCTCTTATCTGGACACCTTTTAACCGGACATCGGTTTAACCGGACTACACTCGGCGGAAATGACATCTCTATAACCACACAATTTTTATCAGCACATTGGTTTAACCGGACTAGATCGGCAGGAAGTGGGCGGTACTGAAACAACTGTTCTCGTGCGAAAGATTTGAAACCAGTGATCATGTGTCTAAATACAATGCTTTCCTAAATTTAAGTTGAATATCACAGTAAATGGTACAATTTTATAATGTTACCAAAAGCCATTAAATCTGAGAAAAATATTAATAAATTTAAAAATAAACTAAAAAAATATCTTATTGATTTAACATTATATTCTTTCTCCGAATTCCCATGTAAAAATGATGTGTAAAGGAAGTTTATAGTTCTGTTTTCTTTTCATACATATAACTATATCTTTTGTTTTGACAGTCTTATTATTAATCAATCTTAGTTATAATGTATCTTAGTATAATTAATATTGACACCATTCTATGTACAGAGTACTAATATTGAATAAAGATTTTATTGATTGATTGATTGATTGATGGTCCGTTTTAACAAGTTTTTGGGGACTTCAGTTTAACCGGAAATCGCGCTATACGGACTGGCCTCGGTCCCGAGGAATCCGGATAAGAGGGAGTCTACTGTATCACTTTCTCTAATGTGTGTGTCTACAAAAAAAACTGTCCATCTTCCATGTGACTGTTTAAATCTCCTTCATTGTTTTTAGTTATAGCTGCATGATGATCAGACAATAGAATATGCATGGAGAATTTTAAAACAGGAAAAGAGGGAAAAATCCTTTTTACAACATGAATTATACCATTTTAACGGAGAAAATTGTTCAACTGATAGTAATACAAGGGTTTACCTGATAGTTCCGTTTGTGTTTGGGAAAAGATCACTCCTTAAGGAGACGATCGCTGTGGAACGAGTCGTCCGAACTGGAGGTAGATCCGCAAACACTTGGTCATTCTGTGGCGCTGGCACTTCCAAAAGTAGATAAAGATTAAAACTTGTAAGAAAAAAATTAGCAGGTCCAATCTGATAGCCAGTGGCATTGACTATTGGAAGCTGAAGTAGACATCCCATCTATATGGACCAGCTGTCGCCAATTTTTTAATAAAAAAGAACATAGTTGTGTGAGCCAGTCACAGAATGCGCTAGTGTCTAAAATTCAATTTTATACCATATTTTTTGTTGCTGGCCAGATTGATGGGTCATAAGAGTATAGCTCACCATAAGTCATTCCCTACGTTTGACTTGGTAAAAAAGTTTCTGAATTCGACAGAACTTAGTATTCAGTAATTTTCTTCTCTTTTTTATAGAAATTTCCTTAAAAATAATCGTGTGATTTGGCAGAGTTTGTCAATGTCATAAACTGTGCATATGTAAATAATGTCGTGTCCATTTTTGTGTCCATTTTTGTATTCGTGTTCCTAGTTTTACGTTAAAATGTGACAAACACTCTCAATGTGAGCTAATGTTTTAACCTGTATAATGACGCAGCTGAAGATGTGTCGTAATTGACATGAAGCGCGTACTGCAGAACTCCAACTTTTGACACCTTAGGCTACCGAAAAAAGGTAAACTATACTGAATAATTGACTTGGTAAAGAAGTTTGTGTAATCGGCAGGATTTAGTTATATAGATTAGCACATTTTGTCGGTGGCTCACATCAACTACAATGATTAAAATCTGGCTACAAATTTAACTGGGGAATGGAATGTCTAGTTGTATATTTTTTACAACTTGATGATAGTCAAGGACCAGTGTTCTTTATTTCTAGAGCCATCTGTGTAATTGGTAAATTGTTGTATCAAACTCATATTAGGATTCCTAGTACCATATTTTTGCACCTATGGAAAACAAAGCATAAGAACATAGAGTTAAACATAATCTATAGTTTAAAAACTGAGGTGAGACCAAAGTTTGGAAATTAGCAAGGATTGAAAAGACATTTTGGCCCATGTGATGAACAATATTGTTAGATAACAGCGCTGATTCAAATGAGGTGGTCTATGAGTATAAACTCGTATGTCGATGAGTCAACTCAACTGATTCACTCAGTTGATTACTTGTAATAAAACTCATCAAGCGATTGTGTTGAATGTATGATGATAGCTGTGTTACTGACTAAGATCAACTGGCCATTTAGCCAGAACCATTTATTTAAAGCTAAATGATAATCATTCTATCCACAGTACTTGATTGTCAGCCATGATAATCTGATAACACGAATGGTACGTGAATATCATACTATCAAGATACAAAAACCTATTTTTGGCTTGTTTCTTATTTGTTCTAATCATTTGGTAATTGAACTTACTTGTCGGTGGAACGGTGAAATTTCTAAGGTTGTATTGTCCTGACAACTTATTTAAACCAAATGGAACAACAGCGACTGTGTAGGCTTCCCCATCTCTCAATTGTGAAATATCAAAAGATGAGTTGTAGGAATCTGCTGAGGGCTGTAAAAAATGTGTCTCTAAAGTCAAAAACTAAAGATATGTGTTTGTATAAAAATGTAAGCAAATTCTACTTGATTATTTGTTGAATCCGTCAATGTAATGGGTTAGTAAAAAATAAATAAAACTAGGTGAAACTCGTCAAATTTGACAGTTACTGTTGAGGTTTAAAGCAAAATCATTTAACTATCAATCAATGATAAATACTAGGGGACTCCATTTTTGGAACAATTTGGGTTGATTTTCTTATCAAGAGCTGGTCCAGCCAACAATCAAAACCCACAAGTAAAACATACCTGTTGTGCTGGAATATCAGCAACAAGGCTGGTAGTATCGTTACGTCGTGTTCCGATAATATAGACGGTGAAATGACTGATAGGTCCATTGGTGAAACATGGTCGTCGCCAAGAAAACCACACATTGGAGCGAGTAAAGAAAACTTTCAAGTCTTCAACGGGATCTGAAGCTACAAATACAAATTAACTATAATAAAAATGTTAGAAATCTCTGTCATACAATTTACTTTAAAGCACCACCTTATAGATTTATCATCTTTAAGGATCAGCTGAAAATAATTTTTAAGATAGTTCCTTATCGTTTTTTGAGATGTGGTTTTGGTTTTCCTATTTGTTTCTTATTATATTACCTACTTTAAGACTATTTGTAGTAAAAAAATCTGGTTATGAATGACAGCTTGTCTTCTCATATTGTTAACAAACAGTAAGGCACAAATTATAAAATCTATCATCTAAAATAAACTATGAACATATATTTGATATCAGCAATATAAACGTGAAACACCAAAACAACTTAGAGGTTTTACAATAGGATGAGGAGTCTAATTGTCCTATTTAAAGTTAATGCTTAAACGTACCGCTACTTAACCACGTTTACAAGAAGCCAGTTAGTGGGAAGTTTTAAGGCCTCACGTAGCTTGAAATACTAGACGCTGTAAACGCAGCTTTTCAGATAAATGTTTGAACAATTGCCTTGCACAACAATTTTTTTTTAACGTTTCTGGTTTAGGTATTTACAAATATTCTCTTATTCTGACATATCGGGTCCAGAGTCTTGTGATTAAATTCTTTTTGTATCTAATAAGAGTCTGATACCTCAAATAACAAATACTCTTCAAAACTACACATTATGTGTGTATGACTAACAATAACAAGCGAATCAATAATGTTTTTACAGTGTCAAACTAACATTTTTAGCAGTTGAGGACCCCCTGCAATGAATACAAACCTTGTAAGAAGCTAAATACTTATGGAGAATAGTCAGACTCAGACTGAAATTTTGCCGCCGCTACGATCGCTCGCGCTACTCTATTCTATCTCTCTTTAAGACGATTATTTGTCTCACTCAGTCAATTGACTTGGCCGCACGCTCGCGATAGTCTACCTAGCGCAGGATAGACTGGCCACCGCAGGAACTAAACGAAATTCAAAAATTCCCGGACTGAATTTTTAACAAAGCCATTGTGCTTCTTATAGGTTTTGTATTCAATCCCCCCTGGAACAAATGACAAATGACAATTCTTTATTGCACATAACATCTGTTAAAGTTATTACAAATGTAATACACAGACAGGTACATTGTCAAGGTTTCTAATAAATAAGGAAATCTAAATAGGTATATACAAAACCTAGGATTTAGCCAGTAAGTTACCCCTACAAAGCTACAGCATGGTGGAACTGTTTATGTTAGGAGAGGTTGATGAGAGATTGGGTGTCTGTTACCAGGAGTCGTTGAAAAATTCCTCAAGAGTGTAATATGCTTTTTCTACTAAAACTGTTTTGATTTTTTCTGTAAATTTTGCTAAGTTTAATTGCTTTAAGGAGTTTGGAATTTTATTGTAAATTTTTAACCCCATATAGAGAGGACTTGTTTCATATTTTTTTAAATTATGAGTGGGGTATTGAAAAATGTCTTGTCTTCGGGTATTATATGAGTGATTACTAAGATAATTTTGAAACATACCAGGATTTCCATGAACCATTTTTAAAATTTCAAAAACGTATATTGAAGTTAGAGTTAAAATTTTAAAATTTCGAAACAATTGTCTACATGATGTTTTTTTGGGGCAATTTGCAAGAGTTCTGATTATTGACTTTTGTTTTTTAAAAACTTTGTGGACATCTGTGGCTGTCCCCCATAATGTAATACCATAGCTTAAAATAGAGTACACATAAGCATAATAAACATTTTTACATACTTCCAAGGAGGTAACCTGAATTAAAACACTTAAAGCATATCTTGTTGGACTGAGTTTTTTGTTTAGAAAATTAATATGTTCTGTCCATTGTAGTTTACTATCCAAATATATCCCTAAAAACTTTACTACATTTGTGGGCGAGGCAGTAGTTTCTGTTCCAGTGGTTGAATTTCTCAATTTGAAAATTAAAACACTAGTTTTATCTTCATTCAAAAGTAAGCCATTTTTTAAAAACCAATTTGCTATTTCTCCAATTGTTTCTTTGACATCATCATGTAACATTTTAACAGTACTTCGTTTGATGAGAGCTGTTGTATCATCTGCATAAAGGGTAAAGTTACAGATTTGACTTGAAAAATGAAAAGGTAAATCATTAATATATGTGAGGAATAAGAGAGGACCTAGGATTGAACCTTGCGGAACTCCATAGTTATTATTTGCCCAAGAAGAGTATTTGTTCCCAGAGGCGGTTTTAATTACTGTTCTTTGTTTTCTATCGCTTAAGTAAGACTTCAAAAGTTCAATTATTTGTCCATAAAAACCAATTGCTGTAAGTTTTTTGATAAGAATTTTGTGATTAACACAATCAAAAGCCTTGGATAAGTCGCAGAACACACCAGCTGTGCACTGCGACTCATCCAAGGCCTTCAAAGCGCAATTTACAAAGTTGTTTAAAGCTGATTGGGTATTTAGATTTTTACGGAAACCAAATTGTTCCTTGCAAAACTTGTAGTTATTTTCCAAAAAGCTAGATAATCTAGTGTGAAGAATTTTTTCATAAACCTTTGAAACATTACTTAATAAAGAGATCGGTCTGTAGTTCTGTACTTCATTTAAACAACCTTTTTTGTGAATGGGTACTATTTCTGAGAGTTTTAGTAGTTGGGGAAAAACACCTTCTGCAAAAGATTGATTAATTAGTGTAGCCAAGATGTTTGATATTTCATTTGCTGACCATTTCAATAATTTAATGGGTATATCGTCCCAGCCACAGGCATTACTGTTCTTTAAACTTAGAATAGTTTTTTTTACTTCAATTTCATTTGTTTGACGAAGATTACCTAATTTTGTCACCTGAACTGTGGGATTGTTAGCATACGGATTGATATTAGCACTGTGTGGCATGTTTGGCAGCTTAAGTATATTGACAATGTTGGAGTACTGATAATTAAACAGTTCCGCCACGACTACAGCATCATCAATAATTTCATTGTTGACCTTAAGTTTAATGTGAGGCTTAACAATTTCACTTTTAACACCTACACCTAATTCTTCCTTTACAACATTCCACATGGCTTTGGACTTATTTTTTGCTTGCATTATATACCTATCATTTGCAGATTTCTTAGCTTTTTTAACAATCTTTTGAAATATCTTTTTGTAATTTTTTACATAGCTTAGAAAATTAGGATCATTACTAAATTTTGCTTCATAATGTAATTTTCTTTTGTTTATTGATGACACTGTTATCCCTAAAGTAACCCAAGTTTTTGATTTACTTTTATTTTTTGCTTTAAAAGGTTTAACTGGAAAGATTTCATCCATACTTAATTTAATCTTAGCCAAAAAATTTTTGTAATTGTCATCCACTGAACCATCTAAAGATTTGTCTCCCATGAAAAGTTTCCTAAGGCACCCTTTTACATTCTTGATATCTACTTCCCAGTAGTTTATAGTCAATGAAAACTCAACCCACCTCCGTCTAAAGTCACAGCATGGACAGGTTTGCTGGCAGGACCATACTCCGCTCTCGTTACCGCTTTGACAGTAACCCATAGGGAAGTGGCGGGGCGAAGTCTTGGAACGGAGACTTCTGTCTTCTTGCTAGTTACATTGCAGGGACCGAGTGTAGTGGCTGGGCAGGTGGGGGGAGGGGGGTACAACAGCGACTGATTGAATACTTCCACTTGGTACCTGACTCCACGCATCTGGGCAGGCTTCCATGAGATTGATATAATCGTACTGGATGCGACCACAACAACATCCTTGGGCTTGCTGAGAACTGAAGAATATTAGACGATTTAGGTTTTTATTTTAATGAAAACATAAAATCCTTGCAGCTTTATATTGATTGTACAGAAAAATGGAGTACTTGATACTGTAGACTAAGTGTTTACTATTGTAACATTCAAAAGTATTATTCAAAATTAAAATCTTATTGGGAAGTAGGATGGTTTAGATTATTGAGCTTGTACGTGTTCACATATGTTTCAAAACTGAACCCAGCTGTGCTTGATCACTAGGCTAAGCTATTAATAATGCTTCTGGCATTCTACTCTCATATTGGGGTTGATTTATTGGTTATAAATAAAAGTTGCTACTTCAAAGCGACAAACTTTGCCAGTTGCCTAGAACTGAATTCCTACATTTGAAAAATTAAGGCGAGAGATTCATGGTGGACAGATCGACGCCGATCGTTTCGGTGGCTATGTAGCCTCTGCAGAACCTTGTCAAGAATTTCAATTAATTTTGACTCACATCGAGGTCATCACAACATTTAACACGAACACACTAGCAAAAATAGTTTAAACATAAAATGAAGTTTAAATTTTTTACTACATCTGTGGCCACAGGTGTGCACTGCACGGTTGATATGTCTGGACTGCCTGCCTTGTCAAGGATCTGAATAAGGCGACATAGTCACCGAAACAATTGTAATCCACCCTACAGGAGGTAATGGAGTCACAAGACGAAATTAAAGTAAATTAACCACTTATTATATGTTAAGTGACTTGAGACTACACAAAAATGAATTGAAGATACTTACTACAAAATTTAAAAATTTAACTATTCAAACATTGAAAATATTTGATAAGGTATGTGGTAATAAATGCTTAAGTTCATTGTTTGTATTGTTACTGATGTTTACTGCTTGGAAATTCTAAAAAATGTTAATACTGTGATTACCTTCAAACTGTTTTTTGAAGTCTAAGGACTCGGGTAGTCCAACCTGTTTACCCTCACTCACAAGCCATACGCTTGCGGACTCGAGCATGTTCACAGATTCTGCCATCCATTTGAACTCATTGTTCTTAGTATTAAAGGAAGAAATTTGTCCCTCTCGGGGCTTCAGAGAGACTTGATAATAAGACACACAAGCACTATATTCAGGATCCATGTGCCACCTCAGTAGCATTCCATTAGTGAGGTTAGTCGCCTGAAGGTTGCTGATTCTTTGGTCACCTGGAGGACAAAGTTAATGATAATAAAATTTTAGGTTTTCTGATTAATAACATTTTAAAATGTTAACATGAGAAAACACTTGAGTTGAATATTTTTTTACGATGCTCGAATTATAAAAGTAAAGAAAGAAAAACTAAGACTTTTTAATTGTTTGTGATGTTTGTGTTGTTTTAGTTAGTAAAGTTAGTGGTTGCCTTCTAACATGAGGTTGCTTAGTCTATGCCAACCAGGATTGTTTCTGGACTTGGACTTCCAATAAACAAAGGTTCTAGCATAAGTTGACGAAGGGTTGGTAATATAATTTTCATAACTCCATGCAGAAAGTAGACAACAGCTGATAAACCGAAAATAATGTTTTCCCAAGCTCTAAATTCACTTTCCCTTGCTTTCAATCAGTTCTCTGTTCACCCACTACTTGCACTAGTGGTTAATTACCATTTATTTTAATATGAATCAGTGGCTTACATTGTTGAACCATCTTAACTACAAACAGAAATAGGCATAATTAAGTGGTGATGTAAAGTATTGTTTATAACTTGTACCAAAAGTGATTTTCTGGCACTTCTTCCACAGCTTGTCTTGTACATGAAACTCTCTCTTTCATGCTCAGCTTAACCCCTCAAGAAATTTGATACGGTAATACTTTTCCTTCAACGGCTTTGCCTCACACATGCATTTTGAACAAGCACGGGAAAAAGCCTCTTCGGCACTTCTAAGTATATGTTCTATTTATTAACTTACCAGCTGCTTTTGTGGTGGTTTTAATACTCGAGTAATCAATAATAGATTTTTTATCATTGCTGAATAATGTCAGTGTAAAATAGTATGAATGACAAGGTTTTAAGTCTCCAATTTTAAACTCTCTCACAAAGTGAGACATATTACGATTCATGATTGTAAAATTGTAGTCATCTTGTATCGATAGAACAAATCGTCCTTCACAACTTCTGAAGCTTTCTTGCACTGCCCAACTGAGGGTTATTGAATCAGAAGTTCTATTTATAACTTGCAGTTCTTTTGAACTGGCAGCATCTGAAAAAGAGGAATTCATTCTAGAAAAATCCAATTACTTTTGTGCTGGTACCAATCCTCCTCCAAATTAAATCCTCTGTACAACTTACACGAGTCTCTAGTGATGGCTGACGTTGAAGATGTAGCGGGCAAGTGTTTAAAGCCGACCGTGATCTTGTACGAGGTGCAGGCTGGAAGATGTTCAACATCATAAGTAGAGACATTGAGTGTTCCAGAACTCTTGCACTCAATCGCATCACACACTTGAACTATGTATTGTCGAGTGCAAGCCTTGTATCTTGATGGAGCAGTCCATTTGATCCGCAAACCGGTCCAGGTGGTGTCTACGATGAGGTTTTCCACAGATACCTTGTCTGTAAAGTAACAATTTGGCTACTTGAAAAGTTAATTATTTTTAATATAAAATTTATATATTTGTTTGTTTGAAGTACAGGTTTTTCGTAACTTAAATTTTTCAACACCTCCTTAATCGGGTTTGGTATTGTAATTGTATGAATTCCGAACCAAAACCACTGAACCAATTATAAATTATTGTTACTGATTGTTACTTTTTTGTATATATTGTGAAAATAAAACTGATTTGATTTGAAATTGAATTTTTTACAACAAAGTTTGTAACTTACGTGTTGTGAAAGTAAAACAAGTGTGTAGCTAAGGAAAAGAGTACAGATTTCAGGTAGCCTAATGTAGTTCATGTGTTTTATATACAATAATGGCTGCTTTTTAGGTAAAGTTGTGCAGAAAAAGTAGTTTGTTTTTAGCTCATCATAACAAAATTAAAGCAACTTCAACATGTACAGCTTACATTTAAAAAAAGGATTCATATACCTGATGTAGTTGTAAATGACTTTATCAGACCATTCCTCTTATTTAAAGGTGTCAAATCGTTTAAAGAGTCTCCAAAATACGCACTGACGTACAGGTAGTACAATTTACATTGCTTGAGGTTAACAAATGTGAAGTTTCTGGAGTCAGCAGGAACGATGAATCCGTTGTATGGGCCTACTGCTTTGTGTCCAGAATCATACAGGAACATTTTGTATCCACTAATACACTCTGAACCATAAGATAGCTGTTCCCAGGCGACAATGATTGAATCAGCTGTTTGATTTTTAACGGATATTTCTGGCACTGCTTGAATATTGGCTGGAACAAAACTCACTATTATTACACCGATTATTGTTATGAAAAGGATTTATTGGTTTTTCTGATGGTAATTTTTTAATATTTTTGATTGAAATTAGATGGACATGTTTTCTTGAGCGTTCAATAGGCTACTACTGTTTTCATGGCTAGGGAAAGTCACAACAGATTGAAGGAATCAGGTCAACTTACAAGTAGATAGTTTATCTGTCTGTGTCATACATTGGTAAGGAAATCCCATTTATCTCCTTATTCCTAAATTTTACTTTTGTGCTTTATTCTCTCTAGTTCAGCCTATGTTTCCCTATGTTGGAACTTGTTCATGAGCTACCTTTGTGCAAAATTACAGCTGACTCAGTACGACAATTTTCACCCAGAACAATCACACGGGTACTTTTAAAATACCTCTTTCTATTATAAATTGATTTTAGGTAATGTTTTTAAGTAGACAGATATTTTTTAACCCTACAAAATTGAAACGGTGATATTTTGGCCATAAAAAACATACTTAAGCCACGTTTAAACAAGGGCATGGTCCCTATAATTCTTGACAACATAGCGCAAACCTCTATTGCTGTAAAAATTACGGTTCAAAAGTTATTGTAAAATATATTATTTTCCCATAAAAACCCATGAAAAATGGATTTTAAAAAACGGTTCTGATTGAAATTTGTCTGTTCTATGGTCTTTTCTAAATACTATACAGCCGCATATGTAACTCACGGGGGATACAAATTCTAGACCACTTCTAGAAGTGCTAGGGAGTTGAAATTTGACACGCGGTTAGGTCTTGGGCCCAAACCCCCGGGAAAATTCCAAAAAGTCGCATTTTCAAATTTTAACCCCCCCGAAATTAAGGGTCTCCCCCCCATGTTATTCTTATGGGGAATAACATTAAAAATGGCCGACTTTGGTGTGCCCGTCTCAACGACTTAGAAACGTGCTAGAGACTTCAAATTTGCGTAGTATTGTAGTAAGAGATCTTACATTACCGGTGGAATATGTAAAAGTCCCATTTTCAAATTTTAACCCACCCAAAAATTCAAAATGGCGGACCTCTGAAAACTAAAAAAACACTTTTTTTCAACCGGATGTAGCTCGAAAACGGTAAGAGCTAGAAAAGATTTGAAAGTATATCCAGGAACAGGAATTAAATTTTATACAAAACCCTCTTAAGCGTTTTCCAAAAATCGCACTCCTTCAGCTTCAAAAAACGCCCTACTTTCAAAATTTGGTAAATTTTTATTACATTTTTACCGGTTTTCACCATGTTTTCATACTTAAATAATTTTTTTTTTCAAAAATTATTATTGCTTTGTATTCTCCTTACTTTACTGTAAATTTTACTCATTACATGTTTTTTCGTAACTTTACTCCTTGACCCCCAAAACTTAATTTTAATCTCAAAATGTGAAGGTTTTTTGCCACTTTTACGAGCCCCATGTTATTCTTATGGAGAATAACTTTGAAAGTTGCCGTGTTTGGTATGCTCATCTGTACCGTTTAGAAACGTGTTAGAGACTTGAAACTTCGTAGTATTGCAGTATGGGATCTTACATTACCGGTGAAATTTGCAAAAGTCCCATTTTCAAATTTTAACCACCCTAAAAATCCAAAATGGCGGACCTCTAAAAACGACAAAAATTACTTTCAAATTTTTACCGGTTTTCGCTATCTTTTCATACTTAAATAATTCCTTTTTGCAAATATTATTAATGCTTTGTATTCCCCTTAGTTTACTACAAATTTTACTCATAAAATGTTTTTTCGTAACTTTAATCCTTGACCCCCAAAACTTAGGTTTTATGTCAAAGTCTGAAAGTTTTTACGAGCCCCATGTTATTCTTATGGAAAATAAATAAATAATTAATAATAAAATAATTAATAGATAATAAATAAATAATAAATAAATAATTTCAACTAAAAAAATAACAAAGGCGAATTTTTGGTAAAGTAGTACGCAAAAATCGGTAATGCAGTATATTGAGTTGGTTCTCGCTCTTATTTTTGCTACCAATTTTGACTATACCTGTTAAAGTTTCACCATGACTTGATCCTATTTGGACTATTATTTTCCCGATTTTTGCGGTCTATACTTGTCATTCGATAGTATTGTTAGTATGGATCACTCTTGTGTTGCTGCTGGGTCTTTCCATCAGGGAGATCCAAGATTCAAAGAGAGCAGCAATGCTCAGTGCATGGCTAATGCAGCCTGTGCACTCGCCTGGCAAGTGTTTCGCGGGGGATTCAGTACCAACGCTATTGACGAGATACTCATGGCCGGTGATCGTCTGTATACGCAATCTCGCCGTGAGTATAACGTCCTACATAGGTATCTGTTCCCTGAGGACCTTGCCAGGAACTTCGTGGTTGCAGGTCATAGTGTAGCCATTGAGGAAATCTCTCCTGTTGGAGATGATTTATATCCGCGTTGCATCGCCAGCTTGGACGACGTGACCAGCAATTTAACATCAATGCTGGAAACAGCTATGCCTGGCGACTCTGTCGATGGCGGCTTTGTGTTCACGGGTCAATTGGTAGCAGTCGCATTTTGGCGTTACCAAGGACGACTCTACCTTTTTGATTCCCACGGGGTGAATGAGAGCCGTCGTCGAGACAGCGATGAGAGCAAGAATAAGGCAAGGCTTTTTGTGTGCGAGAATGTCCGTGCTCTAGCCTCCCTTTTACTGGTAAATGCGGCATTCATCGGTGGACAATACTCCATTACTAAAGTAAAATTTTCCATCAATGAAACTGTTACAACCGAACGTCCAGACGATGTTTTGTCCCATTTGTCCGTTTCTCCTTCCCAAACAACTTTGGACAAACCAAAAGGTCCTGGTAGACCAAAGAAAATAAAACGGGGTCGTCCAAAGTATTTGGACACGACTCGAGAAGAGCAAGTGGATGCGGCCAAAAAGAAGTACCGGGAAACGCACGCAGACCAACTCAGGGATGACAAACAGCGTTACACTCAGAGCCACCCCGAGGTGAACAGGAGAGCTGTTCAGCTGTACGATCTGCGTAATCCCGGCGCTTCTGCCGAAAGAGTTCAGATTTTTAGATTAAGAAATCCAAAATTGTCTGAACTGCAACACCTGCCTGGTCCACTTGCTCGGTCCGTAGTGCGTAATGGTCCACTGTCTGTTTGGAGTGGAGAATTACTGGACACAATACAGCCTTACAAATTAAAAAAGGTTAGCCTCTGGGAAGACAACATATTCAGATGTAGTCATTGCCAAGCACGGCTCTTCGAGGAGGAGAAGAATAGAAAGCAATGGTGCTGCGGGGAAGGAGCGTTCAACGTTCTCGACCTTCCTCCTTTGCAAGAACGCTTTTATTCTGACCGTCTCTTCCTGGAAAGAGCCCGTGCGTACAACGACCTGTTTGCTTTCTGCGCGCTCGAAGTGCCAGGCGGGTATCGTCATCCCAGTGGTCTTTCTTTTTTCAAGATCGAGGGAAGAATGTACCACCAGGTCTACAATCTGGACGCCCCAGGACAAAAGTTCACCACTCGTTCTGGGAACGTTCAGTTTTATGAATCGGTCCCGCCTGTATATTGACGATGGCGAAGAGCGCCGTAACATTGCGATGGGTAGATCGCTTGATGCCGAGATCATCGACGGTATTGCTGATTTCCTGTCTAGGGAAAATCCTTACATTGAGCATTACCGTCGATTGAGCAACGAGCCTTCCGTAACAGCTCACTTGGCTTTTGAAGTAACAAGCAGGTCTACCCATGGTCCTGTTCTCGGTGATCGGCAAACAGGCGTCGAAGTGCACGCCGTGCTCAGCAATGATGAAAACGACACTGAGCCCCGGAGACTGACAATATGGAAATCCGGTTCCGATAGACCTACATTTATTGATCTTTTACACCCCTTAATGGAACCTTTCCAATATCCCCTACTCTACCCGCAAGGCACTGTGGGATGGCACGTTGGTCGCCTTGATAACAAGGGTGCAAAACTGACTCAATTTAAGTACTCGCGGTGCCTCCTACTTTCTGAACCTCGCTTCTCTCACCTAGGCCGTCTCTCACAAGCTTGGCAGTTTGAGATGTTCGCGAGGTACGAGGAGGAGAAACTGCGTTATATTAAGTTTACGCAGCTGAAGAACACCGATAGTGCCTTGCGGGTGGGGCCGGTTGACGAGATTCGGAATGCACAGCAGGTCTTGAACGACATCGCTCGTGATGAAACCGTCCAAGGCGAGGGTGGGGTGCAGGCAGGAAAAGTCTACCTCCCAAGTTCGTTCACCGGGGGGCCCAGGTACATGAAAGTAAAATACGAAGACGCTATGGCAATCGTATTGCGGCTGGGTTCCCCCACTTTCTTTTTGACGTTTACGTACAACGCGACTTGGGAGGATAACAAGAAAGCTTGCCCTCGTGGAGGTACTCGCAGTGACCCTAGCACTGCTTGCAGAGTTTTTAGGATCAAACTTCTAGAACTTCTCCGAGACCTGCGCAGCGGAGCAATGTTTGGACGCTCTGTCTATATCGTCTACGTCATCGAGATGCAAATGAGGGGCCTTCCTCACGCCCACATTGTATTCAAGATTGACGGCGACAGACCAGTTCAGGCGTCCGAAATTGACTCCATCATCCGCGCGGATATTCCCTCGGAAGAAGAGGCCGGAGGCCGATTGAGGAAGTTGGTCCTAAAACACATGATCCACGGTCCATGTGGTAATGATCATAGGACTGACTTCCTCTGTTGGGACTCTGCAAAGGGGTACTGCACCAAATTCTTCCCCAAGCCCTGCTGTGAAACCATCCACGTCGACGAGAGGGGATTCGTCCAATACAAGCGAGATTATACCAATCAGGGGACAATTGTTTCAAGAAAGAGAAACATCAGTGTTCACGATGGCTGGGTTGTGCCGTATAACTCCGCACTTTTATTGAAATACGAGGCCCACATCAATTTGGAGCTGGCGTCTACTCGCCGCGTGATTAAGTACCTCTTCAAATATCTTATGAAGGGAGGATCTCTCCAGAACATCACAGTTACTCCCTTCAGTAAGCAAGATGATGAGGTACAGCATTACGTGACGAAGAGAATGGTGGGTGCCAGTGACGCGTGCTGGCGTTTATTAAACTTTCCAGTATCAGAATCTGAGCCGGCTGTTGAATGTCTTCCCGTCCATCTGGAGGGCAAGCAGTCCGTCCTGTTTAGACCTGGCCAACTGGCAGAGGCAGCCGCTAGGAACAGCTCCAAACTCACCATCTACTTTGACCGGCCTCGTATTTCACTGTTTGACGACCTGACTTATCAGGGGTTCTATGAAACGTTTGTGGTTCATGTCAAGCGCCCAAAAACTGCGGAGATATACGAGCACCCCGATGGCGTCCATTTTATCACTGCCCGACAGCGTGGCGAGAAGGTGTGCAGACTGTTTTGGGTCTCACCGAGCAGGACAGAACAGTATTACCTGCGTATCCTGCTTATGACTGTATCTTGCCGTGGTTATGCCGACCTCCTGTCCCGCGGTGGACCAAACTGCCGCACTTTTCAAGGGGTCGCGCGGCATCTTGGCTTGGTGCAAGACGAACAGGAGTACCACTACGCACTGCGCGAGGCCGCCACTTTCATGACTGGCCCGAGACTTCGTTCTTTCTTTGTGATCCTCTGCAACATGGGGGCTCCTGCAGCTCTCCTGTGGGATGCCTTCCGTGATTCCATCTGCGAGGACCACATTGAGCGTAACCCTCTCGATGTTGAACTGGCCTACAAGCTAGGTCTCATCGAGATTGATCGTAGTCTCCGTCGGCAGGGCTCTTGCGTCGCAGATCACGGCCTCCCCGATGTACACGATGACACGACGGAGTTGGGCAGAGAACTGCTCTTACACGGCGAAAATCAACAGAGAGCGTTTGTGGAGGAGTGGGTGCCAAAGCTCTCTGAAGACCAACACCGTGTATTTGAGTACGTTACCTCCGTTCTCAATGCCCCAGCCAGCGGAACGTCGTCGAAAATCATTTTCCTCGACGGTCCGGGAGGCTATGGAAAGACCACTCTTATTCGTGTCATCCTCGCATACGTGAGAGGTTGTCGTCAGGTTGCTCTGGCAGTCACAAGCTCTGGGATCGCCGCGGGTAACATGCCTGGTGGGACTACAGCTCACAGCATGTTCCGGTTGCCACTCGACTTTGGTGACGGCACCGGCTTTTGGAACATCACCAACGGCTCCCAGCGAGCAGAGCTCATCAGGGCCGCAAGGCTCATTGTCTTTGATGAGGCATCGATGGCACATCGGTTCGTTTTCGAGGTTCTCGACAGATCCCTGCGAGACCTCATGCGTTCCAGTGAGCTATTCGGTGGTAAAATCTTCCTCTGCTGTGGTGACTTCCGCCAGATCGCGCCCGTCGTTGTGAACGCTCGTACGCCATCTGATATTGTTTGTGTGTCACTCCGGGCTTCCCATCTGTGGCAGCATTTTAAAATCTTTGCCCTGACGACAGCTCATCGCACCAGTAGTTCCACTGCCTATTCCGAATTCCTTCTCGGGGTAGGCAACGGGACTGTCAGTTCGACAACTTTCTTGGAGGGACGGAACGAACAAAGTCTAATTCCGCTGCACGGGATTAGACAAGTGACGTCTTTGACTGATTTGGTCGATTCCGTCTTTCCCGCAAACGTCCTACTCGACTCTGATATGTGTTCGCGACGCGCAATCCTCTCGACTCTGATAGTGAACGTCAAGGAGATCAACGACCACATCTTGAACTCCCTCGACGGTCATCTGTACGAGCTGAGGAGCGCCGACACAGTTGACAGAGAGAACGACGATGGCCTGGATGTCGACGTTCAACTCCTGAACACGGCTACTGGCAAGGGCGTACCAGACCATGTTCTGCGGCTGAAGATCGGCTCTGTTTGCCTCATTATGAGGAACCTCAACATCGCTGAAGGACTCGTCAACGGCACTAAAGTCATCGTAATCGGCATCTCCAACCGCCTGATTACAGTGAGACTTCCCGGACAGACGCAACCTATCGGAATTCCCCGGATTACCTTTACTTTTGCGTTTGTCGAGGGTTCGCCGTTACGTATTCGTCGACGTCAGTTCCCACTGATGTTGGCCTATTGCATGACCGGACACAAGAGCCAAGGTCAGACAATAGATTCAGTCGGTGTTGATTTACGGACCGATTGCTTCACGCACGGGCAACTGTACGTCTTGCTCAGTAGGGTCAGACATCCCGACCATATTGTCGTTCTCATCCATCCCGAACGTGTCCGAGATGGAATCGCATACGCAAAGAACATCGTGTATGGCGATCTCCTTCTCTAATCCGGACTTGACACCAGCAGTAGGCTAGGGGATCTGCTTAATCAAAACTCCCCGTTGTGACTTGACAACATCGGCAGTACGATAGGGGGCCTGCCTTATCAAAAGTCCCCGTTGTTGTATAAAGTAGTTAGTAAAGTTTACTAACTTGTACATTTGTAAATAATTGTAAATATGGTTCCGACGTTTCCTGGCCTCCCCGTGGCGGAACTGGATATGCCATAAATTTTATGGCTAACCGACAGGGAAACAAACATTACTTGATCTATTTTCATAAATATATACATGAATATCTACTATAATCTATTTATTTAATATGATACTTTACTATTAGCAACGTATTCACTTATCAATCGACATACTAATCAATCTACTAATCTTATACAAAAGTTTACTAACTTGTACATTTATAAGTAATTGTAAATATGGTTCCGACGTTTCCTGGCCTCCTCGTGGCGGAACTGGATATGCCATACAGTTTGTGGCTAACCGACAGGGAAACAAAAATAACTTATTTACTATAATCTATTTACTTCATAATAATACTTTACTATTAAACTTATCAATCTACTATAATATGTTCGTGAGATGGTTATTACTTCTATATCGATTTTCGCTATTACAACCCCAATTGTATTATCACTTCGTTTGACCAAAAACTCAGTTGTAAAAATACTTTACTAACATACTCTATTTCAGCAACTTTAAAATAGATTTTTTAAGGGTTTTTTAAGTTGGAGCTTGAAATTAACTTGCTTACCTCTTGAAATATATTCCTAAAATTGTTTTTATGTAACGTAATATTGACTGTTTCACTGACTGCATTGTACAAACTAAACTCTAATCTACTAATGACGACTAACATCTAGGGGGCCTGGGGGCGGAGCCCCCAGCGAGCCAAAGGCGAGTTAATCCTATACAACATAGTGCAACCCCCCCATTCCTGTAAAAAGTTAATACAACTTTTGTGATTTTACCTCTTAAAAATCATAGGTAGCTTTCTCATGATAAAGGTTGTTGACAAGCTAATAAGAGAAAGTATGTGACAGATTGCTGATACCATTTATTTATGTATTTTTAGACAGAAAGGATATTGTTTCACTGACTACAGAAAATTCAAGTGGTCAGTATTTGTTTTAAATGAAATTATTGTTAACGCTTTTAAAGATTATTGGTGGTAGTGCAATAATTTATTATGTTGAATTGTAGTTGAATTGAATTGTAGTTGTAATTGAATGGTAGATTGGTTGTGAGTTGGTACCACGAACCAGGTATTTTACTTTTCCTTTCTATGTGGAATTTTCCACTAAACACTTAAAAAAATGAATTTTAACGTTTGTAAGATTAGGAGGAAACGTGGTAAAATAGTCACAATTAAACCACAGCAAATCCATAGGGTTGAAATATTTTTCAAAATTTACCTGCGGCTGTAGTTTTGAATGTCAGATTAGTGGATTGTGAAGGCACATGATCTACATCCTCGGTGGCAATGTTGAGTACATATGAAGTACACGGGGTTAGGTTAACTATCGTCATATGTCTCTCTTCCTTCGACACTGAGCTTTTTTCACACATCTCTGTGTTATTGTGATTCCAACACCATTCGATCACAAAACCAGATATACATTTGGCTTTGTTTTTCGACAACTGCCACTTCACAGATGCTGATGAAGATGTAATATTTATTGCAGTCGGTTGTTCAATTCTTCCTACAACCAACATAGTAACATTTTAATGTGACACTATTTGCTAAAGATTTAAGCCAGGTTTAAGGATTTTTGTGGTGGATATGAACAGCAGTCTTACATTGACGAATAGTTATCTAACACTGGTTATCTAACAGAAAAAAATATTACTGTACCTAATTTATTTTAACTTTTTTTATAAATGTGTTCTATAGGTTAAAAGTGTTTGAATTGTAATCTAGGTTCATAGGCCTATCCATTGCAAAGCACGGATTAGGCTACTATAGTTATGCAAAAAAGATTGTACTGTCTTGTATTTTACCATTGACTTTTTGACACCATGAAAGTTGATGTGATGAAAGAGAGACATTAGTTACATGTGTTTCCTCCCACCTTGGTTAAGAAATTTCATTATTTAACAAAATTCATAAGTGACAGCAGCACACACTTGTATATCGGAACGTGATGTCTAATTTTAACTATAGTCAAAGATTAAACATACCTACTGCACTTGGAGTAACCCTACGTAATTTTAAATCGTTGATTACTTCAGTAGAATTCAAATAATATTGCTTAAATTGGAAGCTATATACGTGATCCCTCAGTAATCCTCTGATAAGAATTTGTTTCTTTAAAATTTCAGTGTAGTTCTCTTGAGCTGTCAGTGACCCGTTTTTCGTATATAAGATTTTTAAAATCTGACTTTTGCAGTTGTCTCTCTGTTTCTGTTTCAAATCCCATTCAAACAGAACAGAATTTGACGAAGAGCAAGCGAGTTGAAGATCTGAAACTTAAAAACAAAATATGTTTTAGTAAATATAAATTAAATATAAAAATAAATATAAATAGTTATACTTCGTTCAGATTATTTATGCGGTTTTAAAGAAGAAATCTAGTATTAAAAGTATAAAGTATAATGCCCTTCTTACCATCAACATCCTATATATTAAAACGAAACTAGGTTTTTTTATTTCACGATTCTGAATCAACCACTTGACGGATTTTCATGATTTTTGTGTTGAAAGAAAGATAACTTTGAGAACTAGGGAATGTTGAAGCCATAATTTTAGTTTAGGGTTTCAGTTTTTTATAAATTCAGTTTTAATTTTCAAAAAGTCTAGCAGCCGACGGACGAGTTTAAGTCGTTTTAGTGGTGGTTTAACTAACAGCTGATTGCTAACTGTCATTGAAATGTTTATGTTACAAGTTGTTTGTATACAAAAATATTGATAGTCAGAGTTTGACTACACACTATTTCACTTAAAAATGTAGTTTCTTTCCTACCGTAAAAGATCTATGTTATCAGTAGATTGTGTATATTTTAACATTTTAACCTATAATCAAGTTTTGTCATAAATACTGTATGATTCAGAAACTTGATAAAGGGGTACATTCCTAAAGTAGACCAAAAGGCTCGGATCTCGGATGGGCTGGGCAGGCTTTGCATGGTGGGGAGAAGATACTTCAACTTTTAAAAGTGTATTCCAAGAAGTACTACAAGGTAGACGACCACTTGGAAGACCAAGTAATGAAAGACATCCTCAGACTGGTATCTTCCTTAGAAATGGCAGGGGATAGAAGAGAACGGGAGGCCAGGATCATTTGGAAGGTTTCAGTGGTCAATGTGGTAAAATAAGGTACGGTAAGGCCGGGCGCGCACTATCCCGACCACGACCACGACCACGACCAAACACCCGACCAGTGGTTGTAATTCGCCATGCGACCAGAACACGACCCGACCACGACCCGACCAAGGCAACGAATGTTTTACAAACTTCAGTGCCAAGATGATTGTTGAAGAAGTAGTTGTTATGGTGCATTTGTATTGTATGTACGTTAAGCGGAAGAAGACACTTTACTGGGTATATCTAATGTTAACTGTTAGGTCTGAAAGGGCATTTTGTAACATTTTATGAAGAGCTACGTCAATATGAAGACAGGTTTCAAAAGTGTCAAAATCCTGCGACATTTTACCAAATGAGTCACTTCACAGACCGGCGCAAAAAACTAGTGCTCACTGTTTGATTAGTCTAGGAATACTGGGGGTTGAGTGGTGTACTGGTCGGGTCGGAGGCAAGTTGGAGTCAGTGCGCGTCGTCCCATTAAATTGTGTGCTATTTTTGGCTGCAACGACCAGCGGGTCGGGCCCGACCAAACTGGAAAATTTTGGTCGTGCGACCAGGGCCCGACCAGGGTCCGACCAGTCGACCAGTGCGCGCTGTTCCATTTATTCCTATTATAAAACTGGTCGTATCCGACCAGTTGGAGTCGTGGTCGTGGTCGTGGTCGGGATAGTGCGCGCCGGCCCTAAGTGTTATTATGCAATTGAAGGTGGTATGTAGCCAAGGCGTATTACGCATTGGTATGTAGCTACTGTACTCAAAGCCAGTATGTGTAAATCGGCCACCAAGTTGTAAACTAGCTTTTCTGAATCATATTCAATTTTAATTGACTACTCGATTCCCGTACGTAGGACGGGCCAACAGCTCGTTACCTTTAAAATAATAGCTAAACAGCTGATTAAGCAACATACATTAAATACAAAAAAAGTCTTCTCCTCAAACTGCCTAAATATTGAGAACGAAGTATAATTCAATAATAATATGATTGACCACTCTGGTTTAAATATTTTTACTTGTAGTTGGATTTCAGAAGATTTTGACGGGACTAAAAAGAGGGTAGAAAACGAACAACAGTATCAAAAATACACATGTATAAGTAAGAAATCTTCTACTTACTTGGGCAACTACTGTATACTTTTGGTGTGGTTGATTCAATTATTCTTCCAAGCATTAGAAGTATTATTATCCAGTGTCCAAGAATTTCCATTTCCTCGTATTTCTGTAAATAATTACAAATATTTACTATGTATCACATAAACAAGGCGACTGATTAAGCTATTTCATTTTGTTCTAGAATTGTATTAATTGAACTCCCTTTCATTTGGCACTCAATAGATAGGGCCTACTTAAATTCTCTGATTTATCAAGCAATTAACTTCATCGAACATGACAGAAGAAATTATCTCAAGTGCAAACAGAAGTTGAACTATCACACAAATTTCGTCTCAAGATTGTACTTTACATTTAGTTTAAGTTGTCTAGCTATTAAGTTTGTGATAAAATGTGACGCTGAATTAATGAATATTCTCAAGTCTTTAAGATTTTTCACTCTTTTCATACAAAGTAAATTACTTGGTCACTAGGACTACGGCATGTATATTAACCCTCGAGAAGGCGCTTCACCAGTAAAACAGGAGCGGGCGCATGCAGAGTTTTATTCCACAACACCAAATAGCTTAAATTTTACCCATTTTACTTGTTGTTATAACGAAATATTATATGTAAATGTTGAATAACCCAATCAGAAACCTAACTTCTTTGTTAATAACATTATTTGTTTAACTTTATACGAGTAATATTTCAAATAATCATATTGATTTTTTTTTATAAAGGTATGTTACGAGAGAGGGGCGTATGCGGAGTTTTGTCCCGCAATAATGCAATTATACATATACATGCGAACAAAATATATTTGATAATAATTATAAATGAACTAATAGATTTAAACATGTTTATAATTTTGTATATTTTATAAAATATACTTGCAGTTTGACAATAACACATGAGGAAATAAACTCTAAGCTCTAAGGACTATATTTTTCACTTTTTTCACTGAACTATATTTTTGTTTTTTGTTTTCACTGAAGTATACTTTTGTTTCATACCTACTTGAGAGATGACTGTATTGTTTTGTTGTTTTGTTATTGTGTATTGTATTTGTCTTTTATTTGTGTTTATATTTTATGTAACGATGAATTTGACACCATTCTTGTATATACAATATTAATATATACTAATGAATAAAGATGTTTTGAATTGAATTGAATTGAATAACTCTAGCTAAGGACTTACGCGATAGGGCGCAGGCGGAGTAAACCTCCGCAAACTGACACCGCGTCACTGAATTGCAACGGACAACAAAATGAGCAGGAATTCGGGGATAAAATATGCTTAGGGGAATTCCCAGGATGATTTGCGTGAAGTGTAGAGCTGGACACGACTGCCGACACCCATTATGCATATTTATATTAACAAAAACTACAAGTGCGGAAGAAAACTCCGAAAGCTCCCGCTCGAGGGTTAAGCTGAATGTGAATGGAAGGGGAATGTATAATAGAGTTTGTTGACTAAGACCAGCTGTTTCATTAGCCAGCAGTGTTGTATTAAAAGCTCGATGATTGAGAACATTTACGCCCAGTATTGAACTATCAATAAGCAACTGACTTTACATAGCAAAACAAAACTCTCTTCTTCATAGAGTTTAAATTCATTATAAACAAAATTGCTTACTGATTTTATTGTACTTTTTCAATCACTAACCAAACACACTGTTATTAAATTTATTTTCTGAAGGATACTTACTCAAAACGGCAGTGTGGCAAAACTGTAGAGGATAACAGCATTTTGTCCGGAAGTCTTGAGATTAGCCTGATATTGAATATCATTTTCAAAGTTTGATTTTCATTCTTATCAAACAACGACTCATCTGTATAAACTTGGTTCTGAGAATGATTTTATCCTGTAAAATGTTAAATACTCAATAACAGTTTCAAAACAGAAATATTATCTTTGAGGTAGTTTTGTTGTTTTCTTTCATTTGATTGTGTAGCGAGTTATTGCCAACAATTTAAATAAATTAATACCGTATTCAAAAAATTAAATTACTATGACTAGGGCTACTATATACTTTTAAATTCATTTGATTAATCAACAACTAGTTTCAACGCTAAAGTCATAATCATGTTGTCATCTTAAACAAACTGTATTGAGGAATCACTTTCTTGTTGTTTAAACGGGTAGGCCTACTAAGTTTAATAATGTGTTCAACTATTAATACTGTAATATATTCTTAAATTACTTTAAAGTAAAGTCTATATAAAAAGATATTTCGTATTCTGGTTAATCGAGTAGAATGTTCCCTGCATGATTTCATTACTTTGTGAATCCTAGTTTTTGCTAGTGTCAGACAGATGATGACACATTGTGATTGATATGGCTTTCTTGTCTTGATTGCCTTTTTATTCATCCCATCACTGACTTCAGCTGTCTACATTTCTTCATCGTCCCATATAGGGAAGCTATTACCGTAGGTAGACCTGGCCCTTGGACCAATTTACTTTTTCATATTAAGGTAACCAGATCCAAAAACACCATCCGTTCGAATTCATAAATAAACATGAAATTAAAAAGATAATTAATAGTTTGTAAAAAGAATTACTAAAGTTTACAAAACTGTTAATATTACTAATATCTATATAAATAAAATTAGAGTGTTGTCTGTACAATCTTAGAATCATGCAGTTTTTGGTTATTTTTAGGTTTCATAGCCTAAGAAAGCCGAAACGAGTCTTGTCTCAATTTCTGTGTGTATGTCTGTATGTCAATTCTGTGACTCCGTCTGTAAGCAAAAATGTCATTTTATGCGGCCTTCTCCTAGAAAACTAGATTACCGATCAAGGTTCTAATCATTGTTCTGTATTTACTGGATTGGTGAGAGTGTCTTTGGCCATAAAAACATGGCCTCGCTTCTTTGAAAACAAAATAACAAACCATCAAAACCCAATTTCGTTCGATTGTTGTAAAATTTTCTCCTAATGTTTACTATTACATTTTATGAAATAACGATCAGCTGTTTGGATTAGTTCTCACTTCTAGCTGTCACTGATATGTTTACAAGTTGTTTACAAATACAGCAAACATTTCCGATAAAGTTTTGTTAGCACATCCAAACCAAGTGAGATTAAAAACGTTGTGCCTTACTTAACCGGTTTAATTAATCGCAAGTGCAACGATTGTTCTAGAGTTATGATAGCCGGGGGAAATTCCGTGAATCAGTGTTGTATTAGTGCTGGGAAACTTACCTACATTTTTTTAATCATCGTCACCAATAGCTTACAAAAAGGTTTTCACTTATTGACGACGTTTCAAGGACAGTTGTGTAAAGTGCAAAGTAAAAAATCACAAATGCAGTGGGTGATCGTGGATGTTGCTGAAATCTTGGAAGATATATCTGATTTCGCTGTGATCATGACAGATGTTTAACTTACAGATGTAGCTAAACTTGCTTTTCCAATGTGTTGTTCACTTTTGGTTTCTACTTGCATTTCGACAACGATATCGGTACTTTTCCTATCTAGGAAGTAAAACTAAAAACGTTCAAAACCCCAGCATTTGTGCGTTTTTGTAACATTTCCTCCGAATGTTTGCTAGATATATGTACCGATTATCGTTTAGAGATTGCGTAATCTTTTAAATAAGAAACCTTTGTTTGGATAAAGGTGGTTTCTTCAAACTGTCATTAATATGTTAACATTAAAAGTTACTTACAAATAATGCTATTAATGGGAAATAACTTTGATTTTCAAAAACTTAAAAAGAAAATTAAAACCAAGGGAGATAAATAACTGCAACCCATCAAGTGAAAGTTTTTTTTTTAGCAAACCATAGTGAGTTATTAAAGCTTTACGTTGTTAACGTTACATGTTACATGTTTTGTGGCCTGTGTATTTATTTATTTATATATTTGCCAACGGATTAACACCTATAATACAGTTTGATTAGAAGGACAGTTTGAATTGGTCGTAAGTACAATAGTTATTTTCTTAAATGTAACCGTTGGTTTTTGGTACTGCTACTTTTCCTTAAAACCGGTGGTAGCAGTAAGAATCATTTTTACGTACAAGCACATTACTATTTACAACTAGCCATTTGATGACACTATAAAAACTTTCAAATAATTGTTTTGTTTGCAATGTTAAAGCGTAGGAAATCCCCTAATTCAATTCTGTATTTGTGTGTGTATGCTGTCTGTTGGTAACGCATTAATGTCCTTATTTCTCAGTGTATCGTGGAAAAGACAAGATGTTTTAAGCATAAACATTAAGCACCTTTGTTAATGAAAATTTCAACCCGAATAAAGTGTGCAGTAGTGAGGTTGAGGTAGTATTTTAACTACTTTTAACCAGTGTGAAAAGTAACTTTCAATTACAGGCCTACCTTAGGGCTATGCCTCTATCTATAAAGCAATTCCTTTTATCATTAGATATAAAATATGGGCTAACACGATCAGGTGACATATAATTGTGAAGCATTCGTTTTGGCTTTGAAACTGTCAGATATTGCATTTGCGAAGGTTTATTATGTATTCCTATACAGTAATAGTTTTGCCAGCATATATCAGGAAATATTCATATGCAAACCAACTCCTGTTCTGAAAATAAGAAGGTTTCAACTTACTACAAGATTCCCGTACGTAGAACGGGCAAACAGCTAGTTATAAATGTGAAAGTTTGTGTGTTTGTTTGAAGTTCAATCACGCATAAACCACTGGACGGATTGGGCTGAAATTTGGCATGAGGATAGCTCACATTCCCGATTAACATATTGGCATATTCCTATCTCAAAAGTCCTTTCGGGCTCCGCCCCAGTGGCTCTGTAACCTTATGGTTATTCATATTTAAAGGGAGTTAAAGAATTTAGTCAGCTGTTTCAACTAAAAAAAGTTGGTTCTATGATGTACAAAGGCATTAAAAAAGTTATAAGAAGATTTAGCCTACCAACAGGGTGCAGCACTATATTTTTTGCACTTATGTAAACAGCTAATTTGAACTAAGCAGCAACAAAAAACTGTGATACGCAATGAGAACTGTCAAAGTAGGATTGTTTACAATCATATGTATTTAATGATATTTAATGTGTGGTATCCTCATCAAACCTATCTTGTCAACATGATTGAGCAAATACAAATCAAATTCCTTAGATATTTATTCTTCAAGAAGTTTGGATACTTCACATTTGATGTATCTTACCATACTCTTTTAAACTTGTTTGAAATGGTCAGTCTAAAGCAACGTCGTGATATGGGGATGCTTATCTTTCTACACAAACTACTCAATGATAAGGTTGATGACAGCGAGCTCTTATCTGGTTTAGCATTCCTTGTTCGCCGACCCTCGTCCAGAGCCCGCGCATTGTTCAGTCCGTCCTTCTCACAGACTTGCCTAGGGGCTCAATCACCTATCAACACGATGATGAGACTACCTATATAATTGAATATCAAACAACATTGATATTTTTAACTAGAGCCTAGCCTCTTATAAAAAAATCTTTAATCTCTCATAATGGTTAATGTTATTAATTTCTCTCACCTTCATCAGTTATCAGTTATCTTGTGTCTCATGTTTTGTTTCTTATCTTATTTATTTATCTTATTTATTTGCGTTATTCTTAGTCACTCTTATTTATTGTTACTTATTGCTACTATTATTTATTGTTGTTGTTATTTAATAATTAATATTTATTATTCTTAGTCTATGAACGATTCACTTTATTCAATTTTATGAACTCATAGCATGTTCTCAATTTTTGTACAAACTAGAATAGATGTAGATTTTTGTGGGCTTCACTCACCTTTATTTTTGTTTGTGATGTCCGGGACTCGTCAAAACACATAAACACACATATATACAACACAAAAATCGTCCACGGCATCAAGGTCCGACGTTTCGCGGAACTCAAAACAACGTTCCGCTTCTTCAGGGGATTAAAAAACTATTTTTAGCCCACACGCGGGTCGAACGCCTAACCACGACTGCCGGATCAGCTGAGCTTGGAGGAGGACGGGCGGGGGCGGGGGTAGGTGCATTGTCCATTGTTGATAAGCCATTCACGCTCCTGGCCTTATCTCGTAGTTGTTCTAGTTTGTTTTTAACAATGTTTAAGTACACCGTACTGACATCCACCGGTGTACTTAAACATTGTTAAAAACGAACTAGAACAACTACGAGATAAGGCCACCGTACTGACATCCACCGGTGTACTTAAACATTGTTAAAAACGAACTAGAACAACTACGAGATAAGGCCAGGAGCGTGAATGGCTTATCAACAATGGACAATGCACCTACCCCCGCCCCCGCCCGTCCTCCTCCAAGCTCAGCTGATCCGGCAGTCGTGGTTAGGCGTTCGACCCGCGTGCGGGCTAAAAATAGTTTTTTAATCCCCTGAAGAAGCGGAACGTTGTTTTGAGTTCCGCGAAACGTCGGACCTTGATGCCGTGGACGATTTTTGTGTTGTATATATGTGTGTTTATGTGTTTTGACGAGTCCCGGACATCACAAACAAAAATAAAGGTGAGTGAAGCCCACAAAAATCTACATCAATAATAACACCTCGCCTAAAAGCATGTCGTTCAAAAACAAACTAGAATAGTGCTGCAGTGTAAATGGGATTTGTATTCTGTTTTGTAGCATGCAAAATAAAATAAAAATGTCATGAACAGTTTTTGATTTTTTGAGAATTCGTAATAATACTTACTTGATACTTGATGATGTCCCACTAGCATCGCTCCTGCGACGTGGTCGTCAAACTGGGTAGAAAAACAATAATAGGCCTAAAAACAGATCTTCTACTTTAAAATAGGCCGCTTCACATAAATATTACTTTAACATCTTCTTAAATTTATTGAAATTTTGCTCTTGGATAATGTTCCTTGGTAGTGAGTTGTAGATCTTGACACTACTAAAATATGGGCTCTTGCAGGCCAAAGTTGAGTTAACTTGGGGTAAGTTTACATGTACAGTAGAACCTCTTTAATCCGAACTAATTGGGACCAGGGGTAGTTCGGACTATTGAATAGTTCGGATTACAGAACATATTGTTGTTTTTACATAACAATAGCTAAAACATGGCTAAAATTGATCAACATTATTTTGGGAATAGTGAAAAAAGGTTTTATAAAGTAAAATACAGTGTTTATTTAATACAGTAGTTAACATAGTGAATAAACACTACTGTAAATTAAATACAGTATACAATAAAGAACTGCTGTACTGTGTATAGAGTACAGCAATGAGGGGTTCGGATTAGTGGACGTTCGGATTATGGGGGTTCGGATTAAAGAGGTTCTACTGTACTTGATTAGCTCTTCTCGTGTTGTATTGATGGACCAGATTGTTTGTGAAAAAGATGTCCGGATTATTTCTCACCAAAATAGCAGATTCTAAAATAAATAGTGATGGGAGGGTTAAAATTCCAAGGTCCTTGAACAGGGGGCCTACTGAGAGCCAATTTATTTTTATTATTTTTATTTTTAATTTAATTTATTTATTTTTCTTTATTGTTTAGGGGAAGTGGTAGAACATTATGGCTACGGTAGATGTGTATTAATACCATAGTATACCGTCAATTTAAAGAAGCAAATTTTATCAAACTTTGTCTTTCCCCATTGCAAACGCAAAACTTGAGTATAACTGCAATAATCATTTTAAACTTAGCCTATATGACAACCCCGTATGAAGGGCGGGTACTCTGCTATTTAGTAAATAATTTAATTTTTAATTTTAACTTACCTTATTGTTATAATATTGATCAAAAAACTGTTTGCATAAGGTTGGCATATTTTTGTCATAACCGTTTTGGAGCGGTGGTGCTACCGATCACCATGTCCAAGGTGTCGTTAGAAAGGTCTTAGCATGTAGTTTTGCCATCAAACAAAAAAAGTTGGAATTCCATCAGGGCTCTGCCCCAGTGGCCTTCAAAGTTCCCATAGTATTCTTAGGGAGAAAATGTTTGCTTACATTTGAACAGATGAATACTTTTAAATTGACAATAATATTTGAAATTTTAAATATTTTTAATTGTCGAATGGTGTTTTTTAACGTCTTGTAGCCGTATGTTTTACTTTTTACTGTAGAGAATTCTAGAATGGGATTATTAGGACATTTTATCCTTGAATAGTCCTACACTTCACATGTTATAGTTGGTGTGAATGAAATTGTGATATTTTGTAAATGAAGTAGGAAATAAATGTCCCTATTAAAAATTTATCATTTGAGTATGTTAAATTGAATCGTGGGTAGTAATATTACAATTCATTGTAATGTATTTCTTACTTAGATCTAGCAGGTCTACTGAAAATCCTAGAGGTAGGCCTATTGGTTTCTTGCACTGGATCCTTTAATTTTCCATGAACATTAAATAATTGTTGCCTGATCTTTTCTTTTGTCTCCCACAACAACAAATATGGGCCTAGATTCCAAAGCATCCATTTTTGATCAAACCCCTAATTATTTGGTTATCATTCTACCAAAGGCTACTTTATTTGTTTGTTGTTTTTAATCATAGCCTACACTTACAAAGCTTAGACAAAATTTCCGTAACGACTCAATACAAAATAGCACGTAGATAAAATGTTCAACTATAACGCGTCTCCAGGCCATTTAACGAGTATTAAGAAAATAGGTTGGTTGATATTCCTAAGTAAATTAGGCAATTAGGCAGTAAATTAGGCACTAAAACTAGAAGATTGTTTATCAGTGCTTTCCTTCTTTCGTCCGTTCGGGCCATTGAGATATAGATTATAACTGGGGTCACTACTCTCTGGTTAAACGTTAGAGAAAAACGTGCCACTGTTTTGGCTGGTTTGTTTTCGGTGTTTCGTGTTGTTAGGTTGGCCGTGTGGTCAGTTGGTGGGATGCTGTCAAATAATTCCAACTCATTCTAACCTAACCATACTATTTATTTGGGGTTAGGCCTATGTTAGGGGCCTATCCGTTATTTCAAGGACTTGTATCAAAAACTTATTTAAGTTATTGCACGTTAAAACCTCTGTATTTAAAGTTATTTTGAAACATTATAAATTGTTTTTGTTTGATAGTAAATAAATACTAATGTATTTACCTCTTTTCAAACTAGCCTATGTGGTGAAAATAGGCTAGTCAAGTTTCCTGGTTTGTAGGCCAATAATAGCCCTATGGCATTTGATTAAATAACGACAATCGTTTTATGATCTTGTTAAAATGGGTTGCTCTTGCTCGTAAAATAAATAAGTAAACTTATATTGCAATTGCAACCATAATGTTGAGTTGGCACTGTTGGCAGATTTTTGTTTACTATCAACTATCAACAATATACTATCACCAAAACAGGATGACGCCATCTTGATCTTGATCTTGCCTTGCCTCTAATTGACAAGTCCCACCGCCACCAACCCGATCACCCGGCCAACCTAACAAAACGAAACTCTGAAACAAAACCAGCAAAAACAGGGGTACGTTTTTAAAACACAGAGTGGTTACTCCAGTTATTATTATAGTTCAGTGGTTCGGGCATGAGAATTTTAGGTTATGTCGTATTTTTACCGTCGTGGCGTGAAGTTAGCGGCTCTTTTCATCGGCGCTTTTTCGGATTGTAATAGATATGGGTTGGTACGCCTGCAGGCACAACAAACGTGTTTTGCAGGGATGTCGGAAACGCAATTCAATGACAATACAGTGCGAAATGATGTTTTTACATTTATATAATGTCAATTACACCTTGATAAAACTTGTATACACGTTAAAACTAATTAACTGACGTATTTTAAAAGGCATACTTTAGACCGCACTGTACATTATACGTAGCTATGGCTTAACATAATGCAATCAATTAAAACTCCGAACATAAAAAAGTGCATAATCTTTTTCCTAAGCCCATCACATCAACTTTGAGCTATTCTAATCGTAAATTATTGGTAATATACAATGTGTAGAATACTCAGTATAAATATGATTGAGGCAGTCCAGTAAATTACGAAGATATAAGGCAAAATCTATAATGGTTGATAGGAATTTGCGTCAAGAAAAAGTGCACAATCTTTTTCCTAAGCCCATCACATCAACTTTGAGCTATTCTAATGGTACAATGCGTAGAATACTCAGTATAAATATGATTGAGGCAGTCCATTTAATTACGAAGCTATAAGGCAAAATCTATATGGTTGATAGGAACTCGTTAGAACAAATTAGATATTATTCTAGTTAGTTTTTTATCTTAATGTTTTCCAACATGTTTTGCTTAGTTTATAGTTTAAGGTTGTGTAAATGGATTATTTTCATACATGATATGTTTATTAAGTAAATAAAATAGCTTAGATTAATTTTTATCTTTTAGAAAAAGCAGTTTCATGTTGTTTCCCTTTCGTTAAGGTTACCTCTCCTCAGATTATCCCTCAGATTTCTCCAAAGATAATTTACTTGATTGCCTCAATCATATTCATAAATATTATATACTACAAGACTACAATGTATTTTACAATTTGAATAGCTTAAAGTTGTTGTGATGTGCATAGAAAAAATATAATGCTTTCTTATTTGTTGCAAGTTCCTATCAACCATGTAATAATTGGCCATATCTTTGTAATTAACAGGACTGATCATCCATACTCATACTTTTCATTAGTTTTCCATTACTGCTTTTATCATTAGAATACCGAATACCTCAAAGTTGATGTGATGGACTTAGGAAAAAGATTGTGCACTTTTTCCTGACGCAAATTCATACCAACCATATAGATTTTGCCGTATAGCTTCGTAATTTCGGGGACTGCCTCAATCATACTCATACTGAATATTCTAAACATTGTATATTACCATTAGAATACCTCAAAGTTGATGTGATGGGCTTGGTCAACATCGTGCACTTTTTCCTGATGCGAGTTCCTATCAACCATATACATTTTGTCATATAACTTCGTAATTTAGGGGACTGCCTCAATCATACTCATACTGATTATTCTACACATTGTAAGGCACCATTAGAATACATCAAAGTTGATGTGATGGACTTTTTCCTGACGCAAATTCCCATCAACCATATAGATTTTGCCTTATATAGCTTCGTAATTTACTGGACTGCCTCAATAATATTTATACTGAGTATTCTACACATTGTATATTGCCATTAGATTAGCTCAAAGTTGATGTGATGGGCTTAGGAAAAAGATTATGTTCTTTTTTGTGTTCGGAGTTTTAATTGATCGCGCCATAAGTTAAGCCATATGTTTTATGTTTTATGTTAAGCCATAGCTACGTATAATGTTCAGTACGGCCTCAAATATGCCTTTTAAAATACGTCAATGAATTAGTTTTAACGTGTATACACGTTTTATCAAGGTAATTGGCATTATATAAATATGAAAACATCATTTCGCACCGTATTGTCATTAAATTGCGTTTCCGGCATCCCTTGCAAAACACGTGGTGTCCGCAGGCGTACCAACCCATATCTTTTGCAATCCGAAAAAGCGCCGATGAAAAGAGCCGCTAACTTCACTACGGCGTAGTACATTCTACATGGTAGATTAACCGCGCCAGCTTTGTTCGAGCAAACGTGAAAGAAAGGAAGAAGAACAAATTGATTTAAGTTGAACTTTAAAAGATAGAGAAGAGAAGATTTGATTTGAAGTGAAGCTTGGCTAATGTAAAAAATGTAGTCTACGTACGGACGTACGATCACGACCTGTCTAGTGTCTACCTAACCTACCTAAACCTAAAAAATCAAGACTGTAAAGTAAGACTAAGGCTTACTAACTAACTAGGGTGTGCTCATTATAGGTTTGTATCTATATGGTTGATTGTTTACCATCCTCCCCTCATTTTTGTACTGATCATTTTAATGGAAATAACGTAGAAACAAATAGGTACATTCGTGAATAGGCCTAGTCCTATGCTGCTAACTTTACCTAAGACTGAATACAAGATGTAGGTTACTAACAATTGACTTGTCTATGCATTATACATGTAAAAGTGGCGAATTAATGTCTTATGTCTTAAAACTGAACGATCTTCTTGCACCAACTAAAAGTTTGAATTATTTGCATGCAACACACCTAGGCTAGGCCTTCCCAGAGCCCCCAGGAGTTTTAACTTACAAGGCCTACCGGCTCCATTTAGGCCATGACTTAAATTAAACTAGTGTACATGTTGCTCGAATTCGAGCAATTATGAAGTATTACAGGAATTATTTCAAAACGAATAACAGTCATATTTACAATCAGTTTAAAAGAGTCAACTCAAAGATTACCGGTGTGTAACTCAGACCATGTTTATCTTCGCTATTGATAAACCTAAAGCATTCCGGCCGGTTTTCTCCTTCTCAAAAAGGCAACACAGGTCATTGATAGAGGGCCAATTGAGAACGAAAAGTCGTTTTGGAGTAGTGTAAGGGCACATTTGTAACCTAATAGTTGAGATTGTCCAAAGTCAGGTGCTGACTGTGATGAGTTAAGCCTATTACGCGTAGGGATGTTGCGATACCACTGTCTTTCCGATATTTGGTATCGATACCGTATCGCAAAAAAGTATCGATACCGGCTCAGTATCGGAACTTAAGTATCGATACCGTCAGTATCGTATCCATTCGATACCAGTGACGTCATATTCTGATTCACTGATCTTCGATTAAAGTTCACTCGTTCCAGTACAGTGCAGCAAATATAGGATTCGAATTCAAGCTGCTAAAAACTACATAAATATGTAAAACATTGATAAAATTAACCAAACATAGCCAACCTTTGTTTTCAATTTTACCTTCAAGTAAAAGTTCAAGTAGGCCTAAGCTTACCTTATGTTCTAGGCCTACAGATAATTATTTATCTTTTCAATAGACAATGTTTAAATTACCAACGTAACACATTCGTGTTTACCATCAGCCTAAATTTAAAAAAGTTTTTTTAGTTATATAACTTTCTAAAGTGCCATCTTTTTAGTTTATTTGATGTTAAATAGTCCATGGTTTCATTTTATTTGCTTAACACAACGTTGCTAACAATGACGTAATAAAAATAACTCTGCCGCCAAACCCGTAAGTTGTATCATTGACTAAATATACGTCTGTAGGTATATATAGTCAATGGTTTTACTTATAGTTATGTAAAGTTCTATGAATGAATAGTGAATCATAATTTACTCAAACCACATATCAGACAAGCTAGATAAAAAAATATTTAATTGGGTTAAATTTTGTTTCTTTCTTGGGTCACTGTAGGTTGATCCAGCTCCAGCCTTGGGAAATAACCGCTCAGAGCGTGGCCATTTTACTCAGATTTGTCAGAAAATTACCTTCCGATACTTACGATACGATACTGGCCTCTTGGTATCGATACCAAGTAAATATCGGAACAACCGATACCGATACGATACCAGTAGTATCGCAATAAAAGTATCGATACCTACTGGTATCGATAGTATCGCAACATCCCTAATTACGCGCCACTGTTCTGTAGCTGCGGTCGTTATCACGATTACACCTCCTGTCTATATGTGTCGTTGTCATCGCATCGGAGGCATTTAAAAGAATAAAACCACAAATAAACAAATTATAGCTTCACAAAACAACGATAAATGTACAAATTTCAGTTACAATCATGTTACAATCACGATCCGTCATAGCGACACAAAACAACGATAAATACACAAATTTAAGATACAACCACACTAACACGATCCGTCTTGGGGGTTATGTTTACACAAACTCAAATCCTACTAGTCCTACTAATATTATAAATGAGAAAGTATGGATGTATGTTTGTGACAAGTAAATGCAAAAAATACTGGTCGGATTGGGCTGAAATTTGGCATGATGATAGCTCACATTCCCGATTAACATATAGGCATATTCTTATTTCAAAAATCCTTCCGGGCTCCACCCCAAAGTGGCTCTGTAACCTTATGTTTTTCATAAACATACCTAATTTGACCTAAGCAGCAACAAAAACCTGTGATACGCAATGAGAACTGTCAAAGTAGGATTGTTTACAGTTTTTTTTTTATTTCATGAATAATTTGTGATATTTTGTGAATTTTTAATAATCTATCTTTCTCTATTGTGTAGGTGAAGTGGTAGAACATAATGGCCATAGTAAATGTGTAATACTTTTGTAATTCTATAGCATACCGTAAATTTTAGGAAGCTAATTTCCTCAAACCGTGTCTTCTCACATTGCAAACACAAAGATCGAGTATAACTGCAATAAGCATTTTACACGTATATGCCAACTCCGTACGAAGGACGGGTACTCTGCTAGTTGTAAATAAATGTACTTAATGCTTTTCATTGAATTGACAAATAAATAACAGCAATTAAATTATACAGCTGATCAAAATGTAAACAATTAAGTTCTCCATAAGGATAACATGGGAACTTTCAAAGCCACTGGGGCAGAGCCCTTGGGACTTTTTCAAAAATGTTTGCAGTTTGCAAATCTACTACGACACGCTCTTTCCAATGAGACATCAATGGATGAAATCGGTTAAGAAATGGCGGAGGAGTTCAACCGACAAAGTTTCATGTAGCATATTAATTATATTAGGGCTTATGCATGGTTTTCCATATGTCTATTTTGTGTTTTATTTGATGTTGTGGTGATATGTCAAAATACTAAATTTGGTAATTAATATTTGATGTATCTACTATGCGATTTCGTGTAATTTTTAGACGTCTACTTACAGTATTTTTCATGCTGAATCCAAAAATGCAATAAGTTTTTGTCGGAGAGATTCCTAAGTGGCCGTACAGTTAAATAAGAAATACACAGAAATTTAATATAGATAGTTACAAGACAAATAAATCTAAATTTACAGATATTACAAAAAATTTTGATTCTTTCAATAAATATGTTGGATGCCTGCTCCATCTTCGAATTCTCGAGCAGATCTCCATTTTTTTCGAGATCTTCTCAGGCACATACTTGTTGCCCTTAAAATTGAGCAAGTCAGTCTCGTTCTGATCCAATTAACTACCAGGCTGTAAGGCTTAACCCATTTTTCTGACAATCTCTCAGCTAGTGCTCTTATTAGTGTTTGAAAGTCTTTGCCTAGGATTCCGCAGACTGATGTTATCAAAGGAGTGAAAGAGGCATTCCGGCTTTCACAGGCTGAAATATACTTTCTTTTCTTTTCTTCTTCTGCATTTTGTATGACATTGTCATGAGGTTTGGAAGCATATGAGGGAGCATCATAATCTATACTTATTTAATACGCAAGCAGGATTTTTGTGACAATTACTCCTCCGAAACTACTGAACTGATTGACATGCTTTTGGTGTCATTAGAAAGAGTGTAACGTGAAGTTGTGCAGGAAACTTTCTTATTAGGTAAATAATTAGAGAGTGAGGCCCTGGGGCCCCTTAAATTTTTGTATTTCTCCATAAGATTAACATGGGAAACAAACATTGTTTTAAAACTCCAGCTGTTGTCAGAAATTAAATCTATACTTATCTATATATTTATTTGAAACTGTTTTTCTTTGTGACAGCTAATTTGAGAGAACGGCTGGGAGTAGAAACTCTGTAGAGGTGTCTAAAGAAAGGGCTTGGTCTGTAGATGAGCCATCAAAAGAGAAACGTGGTAAATTCCCTTGGGACTCTGCCCCAGTGGTCTTTAAATTCTCATCCCATGTTATTCTTATGGAGGAAAAACGTGTTTTTGTCACAGCTAATTTCAGAGAACGGCTGGGCGTAGAAACTTGGTAGGGGTCTCTAAAGAAAGGTCTTGGTCTGTAGATGAGCCATCAAAAGAGAAACGAGGTAAATTCTCTCGGGGCTCTGCCCCAGGGGCTTTTAAAGTCCCCTCAGCAGATTTGTTTACATTATGACCATCTATATATATATATATAATACGCTAAGCCGATTTTTGTGAACAGAACTCCTCCCTCATTTTTGGACCGATTTTGATGATTAAAGTGTCAAAAGAATTTCCCTGATCTGTAGTTTTGCAAAGTGTTTTTCGTTTTTTGATACCTTTATTAGTTTGGGTAGGATCTTCCATCAAAGTTGGAGTTTCTACCATTAGATTAACATGGGGGAATCTATCTATATATATATAGTACGCTAAGCCGATTTTTGTGAACAGAACTCCTCCCCCATTTTTGGACCGATTTTGATGATTAAAGTGTCAAAAGAATTTCCCTGATCTGTAGTTTTGCAAAGTGTTTTTCGTTTTTTGATACCTTTATTAGTTTGGGTAGGATCTTCCATCAAAGTTGGAGTTTCTACCATTAGATTAACATGGGGGAATCTAAATATTTAATTGGAAACTTTGTCTCCACTAATTTGAGAGAACGGCTGGACGTAGAAACTTGGTAGTGGTCTCCAAAGAAAGGCCTTGGTCTGCAGATGAGTTATCAAAAGAAACACAAAGTTAAATCCCTTAGGGCTCAGCCCCAGAAGCCTTTAAAGATCCCTCGACAGATTTGTTTACATTTTGGCCATGTGGATAATACTTTTTAATGAAACAGCTGTTAATTTTTAAATTGTGTTTTAAAACAACACATATTTATTGGGAGTTACTGAATTGTTCAAAAGAAGTATTTGCAATGTCATTTTCTTATTTTAAAATTGATTTTCTTCTGTATAATGTCATGTTTTGCAATATAACGTTCCATTACGAAATCAGTGGAAATTCCTTTTATCACAGAACTCTTACAATAATTTCTTATTGAACTATCTTATATCTGTTGTACGGGTTGTTGTCTGCCTTTTTCACCACTTTTGCCTATATTTGATCATATTATGATAATATTGTACAGATCATCATAGGTTCATGAAATTATTGTCA